AAAAGCACAAAAGAGGACATAAAAATGTTAAAGCATTATGTGTGTTTAGTATCAGCATCCCTACCTCTGAATAATGAATTCCTTTGCAGGATCAAATAAATTACCATGGACTATCCACTCATCCACTGTCTGTAAATATGGCCTCACAGTTTCAACCCAGAGAGAGAACAAAAGGGATACCTGAATTTAAAGGAAGAAGATAAAAATGGTTGAATGTTTTTGTGGCAAAGCCTAATCTCTTAATTGTACAATCACAGTTTATAAGACATACAGGACTACACTTAAGGATTTTAAAGATAGAATGTTAAATTAAAAACTACAGCTTTAATAATTTCAATGGAAGCCTGTATTGTTCATGTTTCCCCTTGTTACTTTTGTAATCACAGTTACACTCAAACAGCACTTTTTCACTCCAACATCTCTTAAACAGTAAGGGGTAGTCATAAAACATTCTGTGGTTTTGTAACAGAGAAAACAGGAAAACAAAAAGACATAATGGCATGGACTATATTTTCAATAGCATAATCAGCAAGTTAATGTAAAAATCCAACCCCCCACATTTCAACAGTAATTGAATTAATGCAGCTGTAGAAACAGGAGCGAAAGCTATTCCAGAGTTCCCTCTTTCAGAACAGTTTCCTGGCCTCTGATTCCCCACAGTTCCTCCCCTCAGTCCTAAAAAACACTGCTGCTGATCTTCTCATACATCCGATTTTGTCCAGGTTGAGTGAACTCATGTCAGAAAACAATAATTAGTAAATCTTCTACTGTGATGTTCTATCAAGGAAGGAATTATTTCCCCTACCGTTTGCTCAGATGCCTCTCCAACACTGTCATACTCAAGAATAGCTTTGTAGAGAGTATTAAGCAGATGAGATGCTCGTACAACATTTCTGGTGTCAGGTGGCACTTCCGCTACGCCTGTGCTGAAAACCTTGTGAAGTACCTTCAGCTGGGCCAGTCTGGGAGACAGCTTATCTATTACTATTGAAAGTGTGACTGTTTTATCTGGAAAAAAAACCCAAGATGTATAAAAAGAACATCCAACAGAAAAGCAAATTTTGTCGGGGTTATTACATTGTGTGTCCCCCTCTTGTGAAAATCCCCTCGCACTGTACCTTTGTTGATTATGCATTTTTCAATTTCAGTAAGTTCTTCTTTAAAGCTAATAAAATATTTATACAAAGCCCACATAAAAGCTTGGTAGGTTCTGAATGGGGCTTCAGTAGTCTTCTTTGGAGTGGAAACTGTTCCATGCATTATGCTTTCTGGGTTGTGTCCCATCACTTCATCAATAAACTTCTGTAGTCTAAACACAACTTGACCATATGCTGCTATCTGCTCCAATACAGATCTCAGGCAATTCTGAAAAAAAACCATACTTTTTAGAATCATCTAATTAGAACTCTATTTTACAAAGTCTAAAAAATTAATTACAATATTACTTTTATGAAATTAAAATACTTCAAATTCTGCAATCGCTATTGCTTCATCACATTCTCAGATACAGGAACAGCCCCTTCAGTTTTATTATGCCAGATGTCCTTAATTTAGAAAAAATACCATCGTAGAAATGTGATTTTTCCACAAGTAGTTTAATTTCCTATCCCCCCAAATTACACCTTTCTAATGACAGATATATTCAGCTGACATGCAGAAACAACTTACGTGGGTTAAATGAGTTACAATAATATCATTCCGCACAGTCACTTTTCCATCATTCAGCTGAAATATAAAAAGCTTTTTCACTCCTGAAAGTAGCCTTGAAAAGAAACAAAGAGAGTAGTAATTTTCCCCCTTAATGCACTTATAATGATATAATTAATAAAAGAAATAGCTCTCCCTTGCCTATAATTTATTTTCTTCGAGTAACAAGAGACTCCGGATCAAGTATGATGGTATTGGTACTGTAAGTTGTTGCTAGAACACCACCACCTAAACACTCGCACCAAGCAAACATTTCTTGAAGTTTCTTCCCAGTTGAGATAATTCCTAGCTAACTTTCTAAAACTGGA